AATGCTTGAAAACAAATACATATATATTAGACAGAGAGCACAAAGCGGGGAGCAAAATTGATGAGAGTGAATTACAGAAATGTAACAGTTAAAACTTAGAGATTAGGAAAATTAGAAATTAGGAAAACAAAATGAATGACAGAGCACAATATTACAGATTGATTATTTGAAACAGAAACAATATAATTAGACTCTTGTTCTAGATTGTCAGAAAAATCACTACAAATAATCAAAAATAATTCCAAAAACGGGTTAAAAACGTAGGCCTAAGAAAGGGGTAATCATGTTATCACTGCCCTAGAACAATAGTCACCGCCTTCGCAAAGACGATTCGATGCGATCACGCCTAGCGGTAAGAACCCCCCGAGAAGGTCAGCACCAAAGTTTACTACGAACTTTGGTCTCTTGCTCAATGGAAGTTTGCACAACAAATTAAAACCAGAAATCAAAATATTGTAGAGAATTATGAGAGAGAGAATAGAGATTGCTCACTCTTTTTTCTGTTCTTCAGACTTCCCTAAGATCCCTTTTAATAGTCTTGTGAATTTTTTCCGTTGAGCGAATGATCGTTGATGAGGCCGGAGAGGACACTGACGTTACTGCCATATGGGGGAGAATCTATTAGGTCTCGTGTTTTTATGATGATTTACAAACCCCATTATTGGTACTAATTGATTGTCAAATGATCCTACGCAGAATATGCTATCAAGCAAAATAGTGCTATGTATAGGAGGATGGATGGATTTGCGTTTCAACGATGATATTCATGAAGGTGGAGGCAAGTTAATGAAGAAGCCTTAAATGCTCAAAGATCGACTCAAGCAAATATCTACTTAAGAAGTGCATTCAGGTATAAATTCAAGAAAAGCTTCATCAACAACAAAAACTTGGCAAATATCGATACTCGATCTTTGTATACATTTGTAAGCGATATTTATATTTTTATTTCTCTCTAGATTATAATGTAGGTATGAATAAAGTTGATAACTTTTGAAGCATTAGGGGATTATACACACACACACACTTCAAGACTCGTTCTTATCAAAATCTTTAAAATTTATTTTTAAACAAAAGTGTGATTCGAAAAAATACTTTCTATCCTTAATATTTTATAATTTCAAGTATTTTCCAAAGCCTCAAATTTGTTTTATGTTGTTTCATCTATTTTAAAATGAAAATTAATTTTTCAGTCTATCGGTCGACCGACCGTAATCATCGGTCGACCGACTATATTTTATTTTTCAGTATCTGCAAATTGTTTCTGTGCGGTCAACCGACCAAAACTATCACTCGATCTTTATCAGTCGGCCGAAAGTGTCGACCAATCGACCGATAGTGTTATCAACTGCACTGTACAATTTTAGTCGACTAACACTGTACAATTTTAGTCGTTCTGGTCAGTCGACTGGTTCAAATTGATCAGTCGACCGAATCGCTGATTTCTAGGTAACAACTAGTTTATCAGAATCTGATTTTTAAGGGATTTGTTTTGATTTTTGGATTTTCTTCATATTTGAGCTGATATGATGAGAGACTATAAATAGTTCTCAGGTCACATTTGTTAAATAACTAAGAAAAAAGCTTAAGATTTTATTTTTGAGACTTCTAAGCTTAAATCTTCTACTCATTCTCAAGATCTTCCTTTTCCGGTTTTCACTTTCATACACTCACAATCCCAGTGCTTTAATAGTCAATCTCTTCATCCTTGCCATAGGATTCTTGTAAGAAAGATTGTTATCTTTATCTTATATTGAGTGGCTTTGTGTGGAGGGTTAGATCTCGAGGAGATCGTTGTGCAAGAAGTTTCGGCTTTGAAACCGGATTGTGTAGTAGATTACCATCGGGAGAGGTGGTCGGGGACGTAGGTCGAGAGTGGCCGAACCTCGTGAGCATATCGCCGACTTCATTGGCTAACTATTTCTTACTCTCTCTCTCTCTTTTATATTTACTTGTTGTTATATTTTGTGTCTTTGATTGAATTGAATTTTTATTAGTTGCACATTTAGTTTGATTACCCTATTCACCTCCCCCTCTAGGGTAATTTCAGAATCTTCCGCTCAGGGCTTGTTTGTTTGCACAGAAGTAATTATGAAGTAGCTGAAGTAAAAGAAGTAGAGGTTACTTCTGCTACTTTCAAGCAAAAAAGTGTGTTTGGTTCTCTGAAAAGCTTACTTCCAATACTTCATTAAACGCTTATGTGGCGCCTACATGTCATCCTTACTTCCAAAATATTTTTTCAATCCTCAATACTCAGAAGTAGCTCGGAAGTAGTTGAAATGTTCCAAAATATTTTTTCAATCCTCAATACTCAGAAGTAGCTCGGAAGTAGTTGAAATGCATATTAATTAGGAAATAAATAATTTCAGAAGTAGCTCGGAAGTAGTTGAAATGCATATTAATTAGGAAATAAATAATTTTTTTATTAATATTTCCTTTATTAGTTACTTTTAATAACTTTTCATTGATAAAATTGCTTTTAAATTTAATAATTATTTTGTAGTAATTTGTGATGGTCGTCAGCCAGCTTTTCTTTGGGATGAAGAGAACAGTTTATCTATTAATTCTTTGTCTAAATATCACGTTGATGTTACGATCAAAGGAGGAGGGAAATTGGAGATTCATAGGAATTTATGGTCATCCGGAGTCTCATCGTAGGACAGAGGTAAACAATTATTTTGAAGCTATGTGGTTGAAGGATTTTTCTTGCTCTCAAGTGGCGAGGGGTTATAGCGGCATGAAACTGGTTGTAACGTGCTAGATCAAATTAAAGAGCATGGCGTGGTTTTGAAATTATGGAAGCAACATGTGTTAATTATTTTCTAGTAATATTTTTAAATGTTATCCAAACAAAAAAAAGTAAATGAAAAGGAAGAAGTTCTACTTCCATCTTCTAAAAATATATGAAACAAACAAAAAAATGATATTTCCACTACTTCCTACTTCATAGCTTTGAAAGTTACTTCTATAACGTACTTCTTACTTTCAATACTTCAATTATCCAAACAGGCCCTCAGAGGAAAAAAGGAGAGAGCGGAGGAATCGGGGAAAGCGTTATACAGAGAAGAGGATAAGGAAAGAAATATATATTATGCAAATGTGCCACTCAAAATATCATATTTGCATAAGAATTAAGTAAGAACCCAGTCTTTTAATTAGTTCCAAAACATAATTGTCATGCTTACGACCATGTTTGGATAAGTCGCGTTCTAATTCGATTTGTTGGATTGAGTTGTTAGAACTCGTTACTTGAACTGAAATAGATATTGTGAAATCATATTAACGGCTGTAGAGTTAGATGCCCTACCCAAAGGGTATTTGTAAATAACAAATAAACAATGTATGTAGAAAACATAAAAAATAAGTATGAAGATTTATTAAAATTTCACCAAATAAAGAACCAACTGTGTTTTTTATTGCTTTATGCATACTTTACTCCACCTAGAGAATGGTCTCCCTAATGCTAGAAAACAATCATCAAAATTATAAAAAGTCTCTAAATGTTTTAAGGACATTACATTGAAAATTAATATTCACCGGCCCAAAGACCAACATATTATTGTAAGACTGCCAACTCCCCATCGCTACTCTCTAATTCGTGCTTGCGTTACTAAACTAACCATTATTTAATACGAAGGTAATTTTCGGTGAGGATTCAAGTTTGAAGTACGCGCATCTTAACCTTTTATCAGCCTTAGTTTAATAATAATAATAATAATAATAATCTGCATAAAACTCACATGGTTGGTTAAGCACCAATTAATTGCTTAAGTCGCACATTACGTTGAAGAAAGGTTCGATAAGGACGCGTGGTACATGGACGGTCAAGCTCAGGATTTGAATCATTCAATAATTAGCCGATTAATTAGCGACGTGATTAAGAATTATTGGGCACACCATGTGCAGCCGTTCCCTTCCCCAGCGGCCGGAATTCTAAAGAAAATATCGGCCTCAAGTCTCTGTCACAACAAAACAAAATCATAGCATGCTTTTGATTACTTTGTTTCGGTGGCTTATATAAAAGTATTAGTAGTACCTAACGATTAAAAATTGTCCTGGGACTATGAATTTTTTGTTTTTGTTTTTTTAATAAGCCTAATTCGTTGGGGATACTTTGTGAAGTAGAAAGGTCATTAGGTTAATAAAGTTGGATCTAGAAGAAGTTAGGAAACACGTCGTCATTTGGGACTAATCCCTTTCTATATTGTAAGAGGATGCTAGGTTGACTGCTATGTTTACACTTGCACATCTGCATTTCTTAGATACAATAAACAAAATGTCACAAGTTCAAAAAAAAAAAAAAAATCCCTGCAACTAAAGTTGCAATCTTTAAAACTGTAGTGAACCAAAGAGCTCGAGTATGAACATTTTCCAGGTTAAAAAAAATAAAATCAAATAGTTACAATATACCGTGAAAATGGAGCTGTAAACAACGAGAAAGCCCTTGCCAAGCTTTGGGATAGGCTACAGCTAATTGTGATGAGAACGCAGCTATAACCCCAATTTTTTAAATCGGTCATCAAAATCAGAGGGAGATTGTAGAAACAAAGAGAATCATAAAAATGGTGGAAACACTTCCATGACAAAACAAGAGACGCAATAAGAATTCTTTGTATTGAAGAAAACATGCTAAAAGAACAAAATCACTTTAACTTACGATTTGTCTACTAACGGTAAGTTCCATCTTATTGACAGAAAAGCGATTGAATCCAGTTTCTAAAAGGAAAATGGTACTAAGGGGGTTAAAAAAAAACAAATACGAAGACTAGATGTTATTCAGGCGTCATGATGCAGCTAAAACATTTTTGTGAACACAAATGCTACGGCAACAAACTAGAATGATAAAAACATATTTGTCTGCACGAAGACAGAAACAAAACAAATCTATTTGCGCAGCTTATATATAATCATTAACAAATTGTCACGAGCAACCTAGTCTAGAATAGTAGAACAATTTGAAAGATAAAACACCTTCAAGAATTCATATATCAAGCAACTAGCGATAAGAAACTCAATGTAGGAATTAACAACAAGAATGCTACTATTACAAAACATGCTCTAAGAGTATGAATATCCGATACCTACACCTACAGCAAAAGTTGTGCAAGAGAAAACATAGGATAGCCCAAAGATCACAAAGCTAACAAATTCCATTTTCAGGCTCCGAATAGTAAGATATAAGCACGCACAGCTAAATTTGAAGTCAGAAGGACAAAGCAGTAATCAGAAACTGAGAGTTTGCAATCAGTACCTGTTCCTAAAAACTAGTCTTCTTTCCACCATAGAAAAAAAAAATAACGGGAAAGAACCATACACAGTCTAAGCTACTTGGATGTTCTCTTTGCTAGTCCCAGTTCTATTCATCATCTTCCTGGAAAAAATAAGTTCGAAAGTAAAACGAAAACGATCAAAACATAGAACATATATAATGGAACTAAACAGAAAATAATAAAACACGGATCATACGACAATTTTTAAAAAAAAACATTTGTAAGCTTGATGAAAATGCATTTTGATGTAGTGGCTCAAACAAAACATTACAACAAAAGCAATGGCCTCTTAAGAAAACCTTAAAATGCAGTAGATTTCACAAGATCCTACAATCTCGTGTGTTCTTGAATTCCTACGCTTCAGCTTCTTTGATGTTCTTAATGCTGTTTTTAGGTAGAAAGTTAGTCTTTAGACGGCGTACTACTCTCCAACATCATAACCTTAGCAAATGCATCCCACTAGCCCCTCTTGTTTGAAGATCACAAAGTTTATTTGGCGAAAGAACCATATGCATCAGGCAGACGACTTATACATGCACTTGGGCTTTAGTTTTATAGCATTCTAACACACAAAATATGTGTATAAAGTATTTATTTGCAGTAACTAGTAAGGCAATTATGTTGTTGTTAACATGTATGTGCACGTGACACGTATCTTCAAACATGAATATCATGGGACTAAGTATGGACAATGCACGACATGTAGCACATCTTAATTTCTTGAGACTCTTCTGAAATCAGGAACTCATAAGTAGAGATACTTGTTATACTTGTTCCATGGTTCATGACATTAGGCATGACAATAATTTCTTATCTACAGCTAGAATATGCATCTTGTTAAAACGACTCCTGTATTCTTTCTATAAAACATAATAATTTCTTATCTACAGCTAGAATATGCATCTTGTTAAAACGACTCCTGTATTCTTTCTATAAAACATGGTATGGAAAAAGGAATGAGAATATGCATCTTGTTAAAACGACTCCTGTATTCTTTCTATAAAACATGGTATGGAAAAAGGAATGCAAATGTCAAAACAGATTTTACTACTTCAGTATCACGTAACATTATCACTTCTATTGAGACTATGAGACTTGAAGTTGAAGCTAGGCTTGATTTTGACAGTTATAGTTGTATAGTTTCAGCACAAAAGAAGCACAATAACCACATAAAACTTGGTAAGGAACAGATTATTTCCCTTTGGTCAGAGACACGTGCCCTTTGATGTCTCCATCAGAATTAACATCTACTTTCCATTCTCGCTTCTTTTTCCTCCTATTTATTACTACACAAACAAAACTAGTTCTGTTTTGCTCAAATTAATTTCATAAATCAGATATAGGTTGCATCAAAAAATTAAGATTAAAAAGAGAAAATATCTAACTGGACTAATATCATATGGTTACTAAAACTAGAATTCTAAGACAATATTACATAATTACCGTACAACTCGCCCTTAACAAAGCCACCAAAACTCGTTCAGAACCCCACAATATACATGGAATAAGATTCAGTGAAATCGTCAAATTGCTACACTACATATACTTTAACAGTTGGCCATCAATCACACAACTAAGGGAAAATTGGATATAAATTGCTCTTACATTTTCAATAAGTAATCTAAATTATCAACATATGCCACATCCTTATAGATCTCAAAGTACAATAATAAAGTGATTAGAAAATAAATCTGAGGCTGTTGCATAAAATATAGTAATTACCTCTGCATCACCATCATTCACCTCAGACTTTGACTTGTCAGATTCCTCTCCCTCAGCTCCACCATTCTATTTCCCATACATAACAGAAAAAATTTAAAATTACAAGACAACTATGCAAAATTAACAGTCGATTCATTAATCTGCAAAATAACATTATTTATACCATCGTCTCCCCTCGGTTATACGCTTCCATTATTTTCAGGTACTCAGCCTTCAGTTTCTCGGCCTTCGCCACAAACGGAGCTTTCTCCTATAAGCTCATGAACAAAATTTATCAATAACAGAAGGAATAAAATCTATTTTTTTTAAAAAAAAAAACTCAAACGCTTACAGAATCACTCATAGATTTCCACTTATCTCCCCCAGCTTTGCTAACCTAACTCAGAAACGAAACAAACGTATAAGCCACAAATTCACCCCAAGAAAACAGAGGTTATCAAAGAATACTGCGATCTGGATGCTCACAACCGAGACGAGCTTGTTGTCAGGATTCTTCTCCTTGAATTCCTTCCTGAAGCCATCCCTGTTAGATCAAAACCCAGAGATTCCATCAGCAGATCATCCTATGACTCAAAAACAGAAATAAAACAGCAAAAAAAAGGGAGGAAATAGATCGTAATACATGAAGAGTAAGAAGGCGCTCAGAGATCTCTTCGGCTTGTTCGGATCCCTCACCTTCTTCCCGCCCCTCTTCGTCACCGCGAGCCTTGGATTAACGGAAACTATAGATCAGATCGCTGAAACCCTAGCTCTAAAGCACATTCACTTTTAATAGCACAAAATGATTAGAAATTCGAGGGGGGGAAAAGAGATCCGTGATTCGCAAAACGATGGCTAAAACAGCGATCCGTGACGATCAAGAGAAAAAACACGTCAGATCGCGAAAGCACTGTGATTAAAGCACTAGCAAAGTAAAATCGCAGAAAATTATAGAAAAAACCGAGAAAATAATCGGCGCTCTATGATGATCGGGAGAAACAACAGATCAGATCGCTAAAACCCTGTATCTAAAGCAATAGCTGATAAAACTATCGAAAAATAAGAAGAAAGGAAAAAAAAGAGCAGAGAACCGTGTTTAATACTTGCTGTTCGTCGTGGCTGCCGTCAATCTTTGGACTTTCATCGCGAGATCTGAACAGAGAAAACAATGTTTGTGAGCGAACGGTGGAAATTGGGAAGAAATTGAGCCAAAATTGGGGAAAGCACCTTCGAATTAGGGTTTCGTTATATTGAGAGAACGAGTTAAGCGCTGGGAGTTTGGGGGGAGGGGTATATAATGGAAATTGGAGGGAAGGGAAATGAGAGCACAAGATTTTGGCGGGATTTCAAATTTGTTGAGATGTCCGAGCTGGGTTCAAACCGTTTGATAGATGACACGTGATATGCATGCAATTAAAGTCCCACACAAATTTGTCAAATTTTAGAGCTTTTCATGGAGGAGACATTTTCATACTTAATGTGACTTTAATTACGAGCAGCGCTCTTTGTTTGCACTTTGCTTTTTTATTTTCAACACACTTATATTTTAAAAACTTACGTGAAAACTTTCCTAAAATAAAATTGTCGACACGTTCCGTTCTTCAACCATCTTGATAAGCGTTTTTATTTGCACGACATGTTTGGGGGTTGAATGGAAAAAACAAATAGAGGCAAAACCTTAGTTTTGAATAAGCAAAAAAAAAATCTATATAATAATTCTATTTTAGTTATTATTGTAGTTCCAAGTACCATTTTCAACTCGAAACATATCTATCAAGACATCTGTAGACATACAGAACGGTACTTATGCACGAATTATAAAAGCAACAATGTTCTTTTCTGGTATCTTTACCAGAAACCAAAAATAGAGCAAGATAAAATACTATTCACCCGTGCAAATCGCCAGAAAATGAAAGTGCTTACTTCGGTTCGAATTCAAGTTCAACCTAAATCATGGTGACCGTTGTTCAAACTTGTTTCAATCTTTCCAATGACACCAAGATCACCATGTTTTTTTTTTCAATTACGTAGAGGAATGACAGAAGTTCGAGCAAGGGTCCAGGTTGCTGAGTAGTATTGTATACATCGCATTATATACCGCTCAAGAAAAAGAAAATAAACATTTTGGAACGCATGATTTTTTTTCCCCCCCGACTGAGATGGGAATGCTTAGCACTCGCATCACAACTACGCAAATAATCATGAACTTTAAGATGAATTATCTTTTATGCTGTTTCGATCTTTGGACTTAAAGCAATAAAAGAAAATTGCTAGAGCGCAAACCAGTGCATTATTCTCTATTTCATCTATTATTATAGTGTGTAGATCTAGCAAAACATACTAGAACTAAGATGATTTTGCGTTTGCTAAAAAAAAGATAAGTGCGGCTTCTTTGATTCTTTTCGAAATTGTTAAACTCGTCAGTAGGAGCTCACACTTTTCTCTCGTAGTTTAGCAATAGTTTTGGAGACAATAGTGTCGTTATTAGTGCTATTCTTTGCTTAAGTTCTAGATTAAGGTAACATCATCAAAGTTTGGTCAAAACAACTCAGAACCGATAAGCAATCATGGTAACATGTACATGGATTACTTTAAGACGGGAAACTACTCCGTTTGGCTAAGCATTCTCAGTTCTCAATATTAAGATACATAAATGACACTTCGGTAGAGTTTTGTTAGTTACAAACAAACAGCCAAACAAAATTTGGGTTGAAAACTGCACGGACGAACACCTGCTAAGGGGCTGTTTGTTTTGAGTATTTTGCCTCAGGGAGGGGGTGGAAAGCTTTCCACCCCCTCCCCGAGGCAAAATACTCAAAATAAACAGCCCCTAAATGTGTGGTGTAAACACCAACGCCTAGCGTATAACAAACATTGAAATGCAAACCAGATAGGGTGGTAGAAAAAATACATTTTCAAGGTTAAAAACATTAGCTCCACTATAGTTGGGAGGCAAAGGAAGCGAAAATGGAAAATTTTAGATTATCGCAACAAGAAGCTAGAGTCTAGTGCGTTAGTTTTACAAAAAAAAAAAAGGCAACCAAAAGCCAAATGTTTCAAGATGAATGGTTCTTTTCATCTACCCCTTCATGGCAATATATGGCTTCACACCTAGTCATCACTTCAATTACGGAGGAAAATTCAAGAGAAATGAACACAAACAGAATGCAAGAGCATAATAATGACTAATATATATATATATATAGCAAACCACACCCACGCTCAATAGATAGTAGATATTTATATTAGCAGAAAATCCCCTCAGCAAAGCAAATGTCAACGAAAGAACATAACAAGTTAGAACAACCAAATGTCAACGAAAGAAGATGGTAGTTTATAACGAGAATTAACATAAAAGGCAGCCACTCGCCCTAACCAGACGTCTCAGCTTGCAGGATACCGACAATAAAACCCTTTTAACCTTTTACACCACAACGTGCAGAATAACAACCATGCCAGTCAAACTTCCAATCATTTGCATAGAGGCTCAAAAAGATATAAATAGCTCAGAAACAACTAAAACATCACACCACATGCTAATGTGGCGCAACTATATAACTTACCACAATGTGAATGCACAAATTAAGAAGGGCTGAAAACTTTAACCATCATACATAACGGGATAGACTAAACCAAATCGGAAGTTGACTTGTTATCAAACAACATAATATGTTTTTTAAAAAAATATCAACAGAGTAGGAGATTATGAAGCATTAAACACTGATATTGTTTTTAACCCATAATGATTCAGGTCCTAATAGTTACAAGGAATGAACTCACATCCATCCCAACAAAATGTAAGCATTTCTCAAGCACAAGATTTGAGTTTAAAAGATTCACATTCCTATGAAGCCCACTCCCCTATTTCCTACGATAACCAAAGGGGGCCAAAGAGATGGGAGTATAGCAAAAACTCCCATGTAAATCATCCTCACCGCTTTTCCTACTTTAGTCTTCATCCTCATCGTCGTCCTGCGATAAACAAAAAAACATGCAAATTAACAACCGCCTATCACGAGGAAAAATAGTTGTGATTGTAGAGCAACCGCAATAATTTGAGGACCGTTTTAAAAAAAATTACAAGGGTATAAGAGATGATGCATTACCTCCTCACTCCCGGTTCCTTCTTCCTCGTCATCGTTAACCTCGGACTTGGACTTGTCAGACTCCTCTTCCTCCACAACGTTTTCCTCGGTCTGGTGAATGCCCAAAACATAAATGAGCGATTCCAGGTAGCAAATCGTCTGATAATGGCGTTTCGTATAATATTATTGGGGCAAAATAAAGTATGCATACCGTCTCCCCTCGGTTGTACGCCGCGATTTTCTTCTCGTACTCGGCTTTTAACTTCTCGGCCTTGTTCTGGAAAGGAGCCTTATCCTGGAATTGGGGCAAAATACATGTTAAATTACTGAAATTAGGGCAAAAACGAGGCCCAAAGAGAATGGATTCCGTTTAAAGGGAAGAACTCACGGCATCAGACAACGATTTCCACCTCTCACCGCCAGCTTTCCCGACCTAATTCCACAACCATTAAATAATTTCAAATTATTCACAATATCCAGGGCGAAAATTAAAAAAAAAAGCTCAAGAAAAACAGAGGAGTTAGGGTCTTAAAAGGAATTAGGGTTTACAGCGGCAACGCTCTTATTCCTAGGGTTCTTCTCCTTGAACTCCTTTCGAAATCCCTCCCTTTAATAACAAAATCGACCAGCGAAAAAACCAAATCAGGCAAAAAAAACCAAAAAATTCACAAAAAAATTAAAAAGTTCCAGATCAATCAGTACATGAAAACGAAGAAAGCACTTGGAGGCCTCTTGGGCTTGTTAGGATCTTTCGCGCCCTTTCCCTTCTTCTCCACCTTCTTTGCTCCTTTCTTCACCGCCAGCCTTCGATCCAAACGAAAAACAAGATCAAAACCCTAAATCCAAAGATCAAACCCTAAAACCAATCAATCCAGAAACTTACTTGTTGTCGCTGGCCCTCGACGAGCTCGCCTTCGGCTTCCGTCCCTTCATCGCCTACAAATCTGCAAAAATCCGATCAGATCCGTGAAAAAATCGCGAAAAAATGGATCAAACTTGGGGCGAGAGGGGGGGGGGCGAGATCGCTTCGTGAAAAAATCGCGAAAAAATGGATCAAACTTGGGGCGAGAGGGGGGGGGGCGAGATCGCTTACGATTAGAGCTAGGGTATCGAGGGGCAAAATGGGAATATGGAGGAAAGGCGAAGCGATGCGTGGAGATAAGAAGGGCAGAGAGAGGACTCGGAGGGAATTAAAATTTCGTGAATGGACGATGGAGGATTAAATTGGGAAGGGGGAGGATTTGGGCGGGATTTTGAAATTTTGTGTGGTGACACGTCATCGATCCGCGGGATGGGTTTTTGTTGGCCGGGATTGGGTCGTCTTGGGCTTGTGCTTCTGTTGGGTCTGTGTTCATGGGGTCACTGTGCGGAGAGGTGCACGTGCGAGTGGTGGAGAGACACGTGGGGGTTTAGATATTTTGTGGGGTGAATTATGTGATTGCCCTTTGAGACTGTTCATGGATGTTGATCGGCTTCACATAGTGCAACTTTATTAATATCAACTAGTTTTATGTCTATACGATGTACAGATTTGTTTAATATATAAAAATTAATGTAGCAAAAAAATACAAAATAAAATAGTAATAATATATAAGTAGTCAGAAATGATACAACTAAAACTGCATATATGTTTGACTTACTATTAAACTGTAAAAAAGAATCAAAATATAATTTCCCTATTATCATAACAAAATAGATAAAATGTCTCATGTCTATATGATTAATGTTATAATATTTTGATATACCAAGTAATTAGTATGTAGCATAAAGTTTAGTTCCAAACAAAATATTTAAAGCACATAGAGATACTTGTCAAGTATATATATCTATAGCATAAAGTTTAGTTCCAAACAAAATATTTAAAGCACATAGAGATACTTGTCAAGTATATATATCTATGAATCAAAACAATAATTATCAATATATTGATAAACAAAATATCTATCATAATCATATCAAGTAGTTAGGTTTCTCATCGCAAAACCAGCAAAAAAATATGTAGTGCATATAAAAGTTTACTAAATAAGGTTTTAGACCAGAATACTAAATATAAGTTTCAGACATCATGAATCAGATAGAGATTTTTCAAAAATGAGCTTGAACTCTCTGTAGAATATTCTAATTCTCTTTTTCAATTTTGATTTGTTTTGTTTTTTGTTGCTAGACATTTGCAGAAAAATCAAGTCAACTGAAACTGAGCGCTCGACATCAGATTCTAAAAAATTTCTCTTGCAAGGAGTAATGTTATCCGAGGAACAAATTTCAACTTCATTATCACAAGTGACCGATAACGAGCCACGTGCTTCAGTATAACATAATAGTTAGCATGTTAATGAGGTGTCAGGAAAAGATTGTTGTACAATTAATATGAAAAATCAAGAAATTAATAGTAAAGCGAAAAAAATAGGCAATTAAAAGTGATAATGGTGAAAGTTGTAGCAACAAAAGATACTACTTAAAAAGATATTAAAGAATTTGGTATTACATTTAGAAAGATTACTATGACAACCTATAATCAGAAATCTTCTCGGTGAATTCCAGTAATTAAGCTAGCTACTTCTCTCAAATCTTCTCGGTGAATTCCAGTAATTAAGCTAGCTACTTCTCTCAATTAATCTATGGTTAAGTTTTTCATGATCAAGTAAATGCATGGTTCAATTAAGCTTCTCTCAATTAATCTATGGTTAAGTTTTTCATGATCAAGTAAATGCATGGTTCAATTAAGTATTTAATTTTTTTTATTTGTACATCAAGGAGAAGGTGGTGGAAGTTTTTGATGCAAAGTGTCAAAAGTTAATTAGAAGCTTCACGGGATTAATAAATGGGTCATGACAAATAGAACACAAGCCAGAAATAATGTTAACTAAACTTCAAGCTTTCATTTGTTTCGAAAACTTCTAAAACTCAAATGGTAAAAAAACGTTGTATTATTAAAAGTCATTCTACTCATATGTTAGATAAGAATCTGACAATATATAATGCATTCTTTAAAAAATCTAATATGAAAAACATATTCTACACATTTTTGGAAAATAAAAGCATGTTTATTTTATCTATTTAGTTAGCATACTAATAAGATATGAAGAAAAGATTTTTGCACTATTAATGTGAAGAATCAAGAGAACAATAGTAAAACGAAATTCAAAAGTAACAAAGGTGAAAGAAGCAGCAACATCAAAAGAGTATTTGAAAAATAAATATTGTGAAATATACAACAAAAGTGAATTTGAGAGTTTTGCCTTGTCAGGTTGTCTCCTTGATTATGGAGAGAGGTGTTGAGGTGTTACTATAAGTATTAGTTTTGAACATAGTTGAGTATGGGTGGAGGTTGTACATATAATGCTTTTGGAATGACATGAATACTTACCTTTCATTTCACAAAAAAAAAAAAATACCAACATGAGAAATGAAAAAGAAAAATAATACTAAGTGTATTGACTTACATTATCAAGATCATCTTTCTTTTTGGAAGATTCAGCTTCATTAGTGAAATATTCTTGACACGTCGACTCCTAATGATTTAGAAGGAAAAAATATTACTAATATATTGCTCAACCTCATCTATATACACAGATTGATACATGAAATGAATAGATATGTAGCTCTATAAAAGAAGGAAATATGTAATGTACCTGGTTCAAATCTAAGCTGTCTCTGAAAACTACTATCAGATTTTCATCATCAGTCATTTTAGAGACAGAAAATACATGCCAAATGTAACGCCCTTGGTTTTAACAAGACTGCAGTCCGAGATAAAAGCAAGAATGTCAAACCTGTCATGCACTACACCGTGCAAAAACATTTTTCACCATCATAATAAGTATCTATCTAGTGGAAACAATAACGTGTGTAGACACAAACAGGCAAAAGAAAATGTACAGCAGAAATATTAAACAACAGATATTCTGAAAGAAATAACCACCACTGATATAAATCAAAAGAATCTCAAAAAAAGGAACAGTATTTGAACTGAGTACAACTGTCTCGACATAGAACAAAGGACATGACAATAAGGCACACTGCCTTTACAAAACTAGAAATAACATCTCAATGTTCATGAACCAAGTCGTCGTGGAGTCCTAAACATAATCTGCTAATAAAATATCTATAAGTAGTAACTAGAGCAAATCCATTAAGCTACGGCTCTCCGTGCACCTGGCTCGTTACCTAGCTAAAAATGGGGAAACAACGAGCGTCAAAGCGCTATAGCGAGTAACATCTCAACCAACCCCAAGGGAAGGGCTAGTTGGATAGAAAAATACTGATAATACATATAGATAATCATAACATCAAATCTGAAATAAAAATGGTAGTTTGATATTTAGGAATTTACAACATGTGCGTGGATGTCTCAACCATCCCATAAGCTCATATTGTAAATAGCTAACTATCAACTCTAACTATAACTTGGAGTAAAATCTCCATTTCGAACTATCTTAAAAATATCCTATCAAATGTCAAAATACTTGTTCAACTCTTGAACTTCCTCTACCATATGTTAGTTTAGGCAAAATTCACTGAATGTCCAATACATGGACTGTATGAAACCAATGTCCAACACATGGACTACACATGGGGTAGGTCCAACACATGGACTATAAATAACGTAGGTCCAACACATGGGCTGCAAAGCTACATGTCCAACACATGGACTGAAATGAGCAAATGTCCCACACATGGACTATATGATCGAGGTCCAACACATGGGCCGTAATAGATAGGCGTCCAACACATGGACTACAATGGATTTCAAATTAAAAACATCTATATACTATTCACTCTCATGTCTCGGTGAAATAAACAAAGCCTCCTGTCTGTAGTCAACTCGTGAACACAATTCTTTGTGCTTAACAATACCAAATAATCTAGAAATCTAGCCAGCCACACGACGTATGCATAAAACAAAACAGGGTAGAAAACTGACTCGCGGTCGACCGTGGCGCCCAGCGCGGTCGACCTCACTAAGAACAGAAACTCACTGTGTTTCTGTGCTTCCCAGCGGTCGACCGCCACGCCATGCACGGTCGACCGCGATCGATGGTCGACCACCGCACCCAGCGCGGTCGACCACGATTAAGACAGAAACTAAAATCCGATATGTGCACGATACGCGGTCGATCGTCGCGCCACCCGCGGTCGACCGTGAAGCAGGAAAAAATCCGATTTTCAGGTTTTTGTTCTAACTGATATCGATCTCGATCTTCGTGTGGTATTTATATGTACTAGCAACCCTATGCATATGATTTAATATATCTGGAACATGGTATAAACAGTCTAATCACTATAGACAAAAAAGAAACGATTTAAAACATGCATATATATGACGAAACCATCGAAAACAATTGTTTTTCTTTCAAAATTCTTGTTATACTAAACACCAGTTCAAAATCTGCACTTAGGAAAACGTGGGTGATCCGTATTAATCCGAAAACATGTTCTTTTGCAACATACAATATAAAGATCAACTTTTATACTCAAACTAGCATGTTAGGCTTAACAAAACCTGTGAAAAACATTATTTAAAAGCATTTAAAACTGGATGCAGGGTTGGGCAAGATGAAACTCGCCTGAGGGGTGATGAACAACTGTGGGTAAGGTCATGAGGGGGTTCTCCTTCGCTGAACACCGCTGGATCTCGCTCAAACTCCTCGAAATCCTCCAAGAATCGCCCAAAGAACAAGCTAAGGTTTGCAAGAGGGTAGGGGGAGACTGCTAGGGTTTTCTGTGATGAAGAGGAGGCTCTCCTAAATTATTTAATATATATATAAGCTCTCAAACCCGACACAAAACCCAACACAAAACCCAACACAAATCGGACTGGGAAAAAATAGTATGGCCGCTGTGCGGTCGACGGCCGCGCCACGCGCGGTCGAACGCACATCAGAAATCTTCTGCGCATGAACCTATCGTGTGCTAGTCTTTTCCACTTGATTTCTCTCACATAATCATACTTATTTGATCCCAAAACACTTGTTATCATACTCCTCTATTATCTAAACATAATTTTCATAATAAAAACTCATTTATTTAATTATACAGGGTTTTACATTCTTCCCCCTTTAAGAGAATTTCATCCTCGAAATTCCAAAATCGACTCACAAGCATTAAAAATACGAGAGAATCATAACATCTCATAGCATAACTTTTCAGATATGAACATAGCGGTATTTAAGGTTAGCAGTCTAGAATATAAATACTTGTGCCTTAATCCCTAACTAAATGGGAATA